CACAATGCGAACAAACAGATTTGGAAAGAGGGAATTTCAATGATCATATTGAAAAAACATGCACCAGTTCCATTGTGGCCTGTCCATCGGCAGACATTAAGTGTCCATGGAAAGGACCGCAAGATCAGTTGAACGACCATTTAGTCACATGTGTTTTTCAACCCATCCGACCTATGTTAAGCGAACTGATCGCCGAGAATCGACAACTAAAAGAGCAAGTTCAGCAACATCAGATAGACTCTCAAAGGCAGCAAGAAACAGGCGCACGTGCAATGAACGCGACAGGTAATGTAAATTGGCTGATTTTCAGAGGAGATTCCCATAGTTCACAATGAACATCGAATGGAATTGTTTGGCAAGAAGCTGCCGATATGCATCTCAAGAACCTTAGTGCTCTCAGTTACATATTAATGTTTAATTAATCCTTAGTACAAAAGTAAGAAGAATTTAAGGAGTGTCGTAGCTCAAACTACCAACCATATCAGTTGAATGACTTTTATTCATATGTATTGCGCGCCACATTTAAACCAATTTATTATTTTTCAGTCATGAATAGAATAAAATCTGGATTGCGATGAGATATTCGGTTAAAAAAAAGAAGTTGTACCAAATTATATGTATGATGATACTTAGCGGTATTATTCAATGTTAGATATAATCTAGTCACTTATACTTGTTTCATCGCACAATAACTAAACTGAAATGAACAAGATTCGGATTACCTTTCATAGTGTGTGTCTTTCAAAAAGAAACATTATATAACGAAGAGAAAATATTCCAGAAGAGCGCCATTTACCACTGTCCACATCAAAGTTCATTGTTGAAGTTAAAGTTTAGTAAAACCCTTACTTCTGCGGCGTTTATATCTCTTATGTAATTGGCACGTTTTCTCACTAGTGTGTCAACTGATTGTATTTTTTAGGATTCATCAATAACAACCGGACATTCAAAGAAATAATCGATACAAGCGAACTTCGCTCGAAAATCGATTTGGAGAAAAAGGAATTATATAATATAGACATGGAATATGTGGTTCAGCAGACGATCATCCATAGACAGTGCAAGAAACTACAGTTATCAATCAACAGCATTAGTTCAGAAGGGGTCTTAATTTTAGCCAATGCACTACGCACCAATCCAATATTAGAAGAACTGTACCTTGACCACAATCGTGTATCCGATATGGGTGCACAGTTGTTGGCACAAGCAATCTCGACGAACAACACGAATCTGAGAGTACTTTATCTTGGCTCCAATAACATTACACACGAAGGTGTACATCATCTAGCAGAAATGCTCAAAACAAATCGAACATTGAACCGATTATATCTCTTTGAAAATAATATAGATGATCGCGGTGTTCAACTATTGGCTCAAGCATTAGCTCATCATAATAGAAGTCTCACTCACATGGATCTTAACGGGAACAGGCTAGAAAGTGAATCGACCGTCGATTCTCTGATTGACATGCTCAAATGCAATCAATCATTGAAAGAACTTCGAGTATATAAATGCAATTTGTCCGAAACTGGCAAAGTTAGACTTCAAGATGCTGCAAGATCAAAACAAGGCTTCGTACTGAGAGTGTGAATATCTTTGTCAAGTGTATTAAAAAAAGGAAAGGCATAATAACATGACTAAAACATTATTTTTAATATAGAATGCTGTTTTATTAAAAAGAGATTAATTCTGTCTTTTTTTTTTGGTTGTGTTCGCTGTCCCAATTTCTAAATAAAAGTGATTGTAAAAACCAAACATATATTTCCGTTTTAACTAATTCTTTCTTATAAATAGATGTATTTTTGTTATCCTAGATGCCGTCGACTCTACTGTTAGTTATACTCATTGATCGAACCAGAAGTATAAAGTAGATCCTGACCAGAGATGAGCACAGGACAAGATTTTTCGTCCTGTCCTGCCCTGTCCTGTTAGCCAGCTCTGTCCTGGCGGGCGGCAGTACAGGACAGAAATCAAAATCGCGTCCTGTCCTGTTTTGTCCTGTTGACAATCTCTGTCCTGGCGGGCGGCAGGACAGGACAAAAATCAAAACCGCGTCCTGTCCTGTTTTTGTCCTGTCCTGCTTTGTCCTGCTGACTTTTTCCGTTCCACCCACTGATAGGAGAATAATGAAAACTTTTTCCTAGTGTTTTTTGCTAATTCATTTTATTTTTTTCGAGAGACAGAGAGTCGATCACGATTTCCTAATCTGTCTATCGTTGATCAGGACTGTGCTGATAAGGAATAAGGAGGGCCCACGCCCTCAAATTTTGAAAAGTACTGCTTTGCTATAGTGAAACTGTGCTAGAACGTTTGTTTTGAAATCTTAATGTAAGAACTTTATCCTGAGGAAGAGTGCAGGGGTGTATACTTAGGATACCCGTACCCTTTTTTATTTGGGCACGTCCCTGTCGTTTATCAAAGCAAATATTGATATCATTCATATTATACCTAATTTATTCTTTACTATTCTCAAATACTGGAAATACATTATATATCATCACTTATTTGATAAGTAGAATAAAATATAGTAAAATATTAATTTTTTATCTTGCTGACACATTCATGACAAGAAAAAAAATAGAAAACAATGACCATGATTCGTTGTAATATAATTATTTTATTTTATACTAGATACTGTCTATGAAAAGTAGCAACAGCATAGACTATTATCACAAAAAACAGCTATTTTCATGAATGAATGAACGTATACTATAAAGATTAATAAAAAAAATAATATATTCTATCATTCTTTGAAATACGCTATATTTAGTTAGTTTTCCTGAATAACCAAAGAATTTTGACAAATTTATTAATGCTGTTGAGAATTCTTTTTTGTAATATTATATTTCTGTTTCGTATTTAGGTAATTGTTCAATTTTGAGAAATATAATATGTTCGACGATGATGAAACTTTACTAAACCCCATGCTGAATATTTATTTTGAGAGTCAGTAAATAGAAAAAAATGAAATACAAAGTAAAATAAAAAACGTTCAAGACGAAAAGAATAAAGAACATTTGTTTGGTGTTGCTTTCTCTTCATATTCTAACGTAAAATTTCTGAATCATCAATGACTACATCTAATTGGCGCTTTTTTTTCAACCAATATTTTAATTAGTGTTATGATTCATCCTCATAGCGATACCTATCAATCACCACATACGTCGACTGTTAAAAAGTGACCGGTCGAAAGTGATAGTTGTTTAACAAATATAAATAACAAAAGAACGAGAAAATTCACACGAGAAATTTTTCTGTCCTGTTCCGTCCTGTTGTAATCGTTATCTTTGTCCTGGCGGGCGGCAGGACAGGACAAAAATCAAAATCACGTCCTGTCCTGTTTTGTCCTGTTGGCAATCTCTGTCCTGGCGGGCGGCAGGACAGGACAAAAATCAAAATCGCGTCCTGTCCTGCAGGACAGGACAGGGCAGGACACCAGGACGCCAGGACCGTCCTGTCCTGTGCTCATCTCTGATCCTGACATATAATAGGTCCAGTAATTTCTGGTATTCAGTAAATTCCCTACGTATCTATTTTCTTCCATTACAAATTAAACTTGTACTTATTCACCATTTTCATCATAGTTAGGAGCAAAAAAGAAACTAAGAAACATTTTGAATAAATATCAACCAGTCGTTTGTTGAAATCTGCTCTCCTCTTTGGCATATTCAACCTTCTACTCATAGATATCTAACCAAATAAGGGTGAAAATGTTATAAAAATCTAATCGTCATTCATTGAGAAAAACCATTAGCGAAAACCAAAGTTCTTTGATAAGTTCAATTATAGTCTTCCAAAGAAACTTATTTCGACTTTAAAGTTTTGTTTATAGAAATAAAGTTTAATTTTACTCGATACATTTGATTCTGTGTTACATTCAATGACAAGTCGCAAGGATAGTTATAATTCATCTGCTTTTGTGCTAATGTCAAAAGAATATTTTCTGATGACGATTTAGTGCATAAATGCAAGTTAATCAGACTGTTATTTTTTTGTATCTATTGATAGAAAACTGAATGCTCTAAGAACTGTTGATTTGAGTTTGAAAAGATATTTTTTCTTATTAGAAAATTTGTAAATTTAAAACATCGTTAATCAAAGTAAAACATTTGACATGAATCCGTGCAAATTCTTCTGTTATGATTTACGAGAAATAGACTTCGAATTAGTAGGCGATAATGTTTATATGAAATCAAAGTTTCCAAAACTTGAATTTGGTTATGCAAAAGTCATTTTCACATCTTTAAAAATAGAATTGAAATCTGTAAGGCAATGTTATAAACATTCTGTTAGAAAAGTCGATTTGTTTTGTATTCTCACATGCTTGAATTTACAAAAGAGTTTTCTTGTTCAGTAGAATTTCATGATGAATCTTTTGTTATGTTTGTAATTTCAAGAAAGGTGATTTGCAAATTAGACCTTGTCAATCTTCTTCATTTTTTCATGAGAATATACACGATGGGCCATGAATAACATTAAAATAGGCTGTGGGTATGGGTGTCGAAGTCTTCGCTTTACCCACCCCACACCGACACCCAAGCAACCGAAGCACTGGTAAGAGATAGGGAGCGAATGGTAAACCACGAAAATTAAAGAATTACTAAATACATCGAAACATGAACATTCCTATCATATAAAGATTGCCTTGTATCTATGCTAGTTACATGACCGAAAAAAATCAAAATCCATATGTACAAATGAGAGAAACACTGTAATGCGACAAAAAAAATAATTTCCTTCTTCTTGCGTTATAATGCTTGTCCCTATGACTACAGAAAGAAAACAAACCTTATATACATCTTAACCTGTTTTTCATTTATACTTGAAAATGATATGTTGAACAACATTGAAAGCTCATATGATTTCCGGAATAAAGGTACAAAACAAAAGCTATTAAGTAAATTGGCATGATCAGGGTTATTATTAAATTTTCATTAATTATTTTAGTAAACATTTAAAAAGAAATTTTGAGTGAAAAATTTAGCTTAAATTCAATGTTTTCACTTGTGTGAAGCTTCTGGTATCGTTACCAGTCGAAATACATGTTGTTGTTTATTCTGTCGTCGAAGTTCTTCCGAATGAGTCAGAGTGCACCGTTGCTCACATATCTCACAATAATTCAATGAATGACAATGAATACAATCAAAGCGAATGCCTTCAATTTCTTTGTGGCAATTCTTGCACCTGCAAGTAATTTTGTCATAGATCTATAGGTTAACTGTATCGAATTATTTACCTGATTCCTGTATGTACGACTCTTTTTTGATTTGTTAGGGCACTTTTCATTTGTTCTTGAACCGTATTTACCATTGGTATGTAAGGTAGAGCCTGATTCCAGTCAAAAGTTTTGCCACATCCTGATTGCTGATCACCTCCATGATAATTTTGTCCACATATCATACTACTGCATCCTCCCATGTGTTGCACAACTCGTTTACAATGTGGACAAAGACGACAAGTCTTAGCTTTTAACTCTTCATCCGCTTTCAATTCTTCGTAACGACGACGCAATTCTTCGTTTCGCTTAGCATTCGCCCCTTGTTGTTTTTCATAATCATCCAATTGAGCACGACAACTAGCATCTTGCTGTGCTCGAATTTTCCAGTAATTGCCACGTTCTTCAAAGTGATTTTAAAAAAAAATGAAATCTAATATGATTTTGATCTAATCGTGTTTTATTTACCTGTATTACACCAAACAAACCATTTTTGCGTTATTTGCGTTAGTTCACGGCAACTCGATCGATAGTGATATTGTTGATTACAAATTGAACAAAACTCGTTCGAACAAGCATTACATTTGACTCGAAAACGTTCATTGGGGTTTCGTACTTCCACTACCCATTTACAATCTCGATTCGGACATTTAATTAGGCCACGAGCATTGTTAACGAAATTAGCAAATGTCTTCTGTATTTGATATTCATGAAACTTTCTCTTCTGATTCCGTGACACTCGTAATTGATTAATATCTCCATCCTGCAATTGATAATTACATAAAGCGCACGTAAGCACTTCACCACTATTCATCTTAGTTGTGCATGATTGCTCGAAGCAAGTGTAACACAATTTATGATCGTCCTTGCATCCGAAAACGAAAATATCCTCGTACGGATATGATTCCATGCAAACACCACAGTCGAGAGTAGGCACTTTGTATGGAAATTTATCTTCTAAAATCGAACAAAAAAAAACACTTTTAATCATGAACAATCAGTTGCTCAGTTTTTTAAAGTTTCCTCCCACTTTCAAGATGACAGAAATCATTTGAATTTTCTCATCTGAAAACTTAACCGAACACAATCAAACAAAAAACTCAATGGACAAAGAAAGTGGTTGATTTTGAGAATTCTGTCAATTGACCTTCAACATCATGAGAGAACATACCGAATGCAGCCAAGCCGTCGACAATTTCATGTGGACCAATCACTCGTCGCTTTTGCTTTTGAAGTTCGATGTAATAACGAACTTGTACTGGTGTAAATGGATATTTCGATTTCGATATAATAAAATCTATAAATGCTTGTTGCCTTTGGTGTACTGGAATATTACGACAATATCGATAATGTTCATCCAATTGATGAAATCTATATAGACAGCGGCAAGATTCACATGGAACCATATCCTCTGGATCACATGATGCCACATGCTTTTGAAATCTCGACATGGTTTGGAATTCACCATAGAACAGACATTTAGGACATTGAGCACGTCGTTCTATAGTAACAAGTGCCGATAAATGTGTAATCATATCCTCATCAAATGGTAAACATGCCACATCATATTTTGACAGTTGATAATCACAAACGCCCGTAAAACAAACTGGATTGGTCTTTGATTTTATATGTTCTTCCATCGATTTTTGTATACAAGGAATACAATATTCATGATGAAATCGGCATGGCATCACATGATTCAAAAGCCCATTAGAAGCAAATGGTGACTTGCTTAAAACAAAAAGAAACATACAATCGATATCTATAAGTTCCATGGATTGTTCACAGTAAGCAATGAGAAATCAAAAAATAAAGAGAACCTATAATTTAGTGAAACGTGATTGATCAGTAAGGCTGAAGTAATGTTTAAAGATGCTCATTGGTGCTTTATATTGTATCCTTTCGACATCATGTTACAATTTTTTTCAAAAAGACTGCTTTGACAATATTTTCCTTCAATTTTGAAATTATCGCACCAGAGCAACTGACTCAATAAGAAGCGACTTTGTGTTTTGACTTGATGTTGTGATTTATTAGTTATTTAGAACAATCTTTGCATTTCCGAACATAAGAACACATAAAGATCTAATCTGACCTGATTTAACGGAAAAAAAAACTCTGAAGTTATAGTCATGATACATTGGATTCTACGTAGTTCACAACATCTTCAAATAAAATCCATGAAAAATCTCAGTCATGAAAACATTCAATTGTGCGGATCAAAAGTCTGGTATCTCTTTTTTGTTTTTAAGTCGTGTACTGAAACTACATAACATTAATCTAATTCAATGATATGTTTGGATAGCAGAGATCAAGTACTATCAATATACACTTGTTGAATTCGAAAAACCTCTCGAATATGAAACACAATAAGAAAAATAAACTTCGATATTAGGAAAAGAATGACATACAAAACTACAAAATAATAGTAAAAATATTTGAAAGACTTTTTGTTTTCCAATATGAATTGTTTACATACGTTTTGCAGAACTTTGACGAAGCATCTTTTGAAAAAGAAATCAAGATGTTATCATTTTCTTAAACCGAGATACATGCAAAATATAAAAGTCTTTCCAACACTTTTATTATGTTAGATACTTTGGAAAGTGCCACTATCATATTTGTCTTCAGTTTCAAGTATGGAAGAAACCATCAGAACAAATCAATAGCGATTTATTTTTACAGTTTTTATAGAGCTTTTCACGGCACCTCTTTCGAAATCAAGATTTTGTCATTTGTCTGTATAGAGATATTTGTAAAAAAATATGTCACAAACATTTTGGGAGACTCGGTATTTCAGTATTTAATATTTTGACTATAACACCGTCCTATCTCAGTGAAATCCAAAATGATTTTTTTTACCGAAATAATCAGCGAAAAATGTGCTAGAAAGTCTGATAAAATAAAAAATTTTCTGAATATTCTGTTTGGTTTTTGGTTGACTGACCATGGAAGTATCATATAACAACCATATGATTTTGTAGTCTTTTTACATAATCTTTTTCTTAGTATTGAAGTTTATTTTTCTAATTGTATTCCATATTCAAGAGTTTTTCG